TGTATGGACTATGTGACACCTCTCCCTTTGAAAGGTTGATATCTCTATCTTACATACGCCTTGCTGGTTATAGTAGGCATATTTGTCGTTATGATATACGAAAGTAATGCAACTGAAGAGTCAGTCTCCCTGGCAAACCTTAACAGCCGGATTCGAGCCTGTGTGGCATTTGTGGCGGACCACGGAGATATCCACTTCAGTTGACGATCTGATGGTGAATAAATTTATTGGTCAATGAACCCGCCAGTACTTGGGATGGGACGAGAAAGTCCGGGTTATCCGGTTCGGTCAACGTTTGCAAGCATTCGAGTAAGGGGCAAGATCTTGGAACGTGTGTGTATCCGAGTCGTTACTAGACTCCTGGGCTATAGGATATCCGGATTATATAGGTCCTATCAGGGTCGGTATAGATTTACTGTGCGCGCAGTACGGCCTTTCACTCCCACGAGAAAACACCCTCAGGCTCTTCGAGCGGATTTCTTGTTGGCTTTTCCTGGGTCAATTGACAACCTGCCACGGTGAAACGCGACCCGCCAGTATAGTGGATTTCTTGGTCTGAGATTAAGTAGCGTCTAGACACTCATCCGTGCCAGAGCATGTTTCCAAGATAAAAGTGGCAGTTTCGGTCTTGTGCGAATCTCTCGTTCAGTGAACATCGCTGCAACTTGCCAAATGGTCGTGATCGCCTGGCGCGCGCAGCAAAAGCAGATTCTGTCAAACTCGAATCGTCACGATGTGGCTCTGCAATTTTACTGGGACGTGCTTGGAAGAAGTAGCAAATCCGCACATTGTTGCTAGTGTATACTGGACCCTGGTGTTTCAACCGGAATATGTACAGAGACTCGGACGTTCCATTTAGATTTCCAACATGTGATCTGCCTCGTGTGTGCAGCGAGGTATCAGCTTGGTTGACTCGGAATACAAGAGTGGCCTACTTTGATCTTGTCCTAAGCTCACCTTGATGGTTTGACTCTGGCGGAATAAAGCTTCTGTCAATGCGGAAAGTAGCTCAACTTGAAATCATCCACGTGAGTCATTCACTGCAAGCGGAGGATTCGGCGTGCTCACCCGGAATGTCATTATTATGTTCTCTACAAGGGCACCGCCTAATGCAGCAGTACGAGAGTTCGCTCTACATATCGCACACAGCTCAACCTCGGAACCCATCGCGAAGAACGCGAGACAGCGAGGTACCACCACGCACGGGCAGCAGTGGTTGGTTGCCCTGCAGAGACTCTACGGCGCCTAGTAGGTGTCAAAGCGCATCGCCGTTTGAGCGCTTCGTGTTCAGAGACTTGAAATCGTGTATGGTGAGTTCGGTATAGTTCTATGATATTCATAGCCCTACGCACTGCTCAGCACCTCAACGTTTCAACGCCCAGTTATGAACATTACTTCTCACCGATGGCAATAGATACTGGCTTCTCAATGTGCCAGCGCCGTGCCGGGTGATATCGTTGAAGGTTCATCGCCGAGGCTGTCGGCTTGCGGCGGGGGTTTCCCAGGTAAACAAGCCTGAGGCTGGTACAGCTTGCCAATGGCTTAGCGGTGGCTCTACCTAGATTCCTCCTCTGCTTTACGGACACAGTACCGGGTGCATCTCGGGCTGTGGTATCCTCCTTCGTTATCAAGATATCCAGTCGTCAACTGAGTCAAGCCCCGGAGAGTCTCCCTTCCACTCTTCCCTCATAGAATCGCAGCGCCTCCCTGCCACAGCACCCGATTTCTCTCCCCTATAAAACTCTGCTGCTGCGCCTCGCTCGTTTCACCAACCTCTACACTCATTCCACCAGCTTCCACACCCCTTGCACTGAAGTTGCTCCCCAGGCTCTGCACATTTTCGAAGATGTCGTACTACACCCGCTGCTCACACGCATCCGTGCATCAAACCAACCAAACCATCCATCAAAACGGGGATGAAGACGGGAAAGTAGTGGCACAGTCAATCATCCCTTTCGATATGCTCGTCTTGAATGCTGCTGGATATTATGGGCACACCGAATTACGCCGATGGCAGATGGAGGTACGTAAGCCTGACTTTTGATCATTGAACAAGACATTCATCAGTCCTCTAGTACTGTGACCAAGAAGCCACGTTGAACCATTCTTTTGGACCGCAACCTCAGACCCCCGACTTCCAACATCCTGTCCAAGAATTATCAGACATGTTGCAAAGTTCCTGCCATATTGGACCGCAGCCTCCGCCCTCCGACCCTACTTACCCAGCGTATTCGGACGAAACGCCCGTTTCTACGCTGCGATATCTATTGGAGAACCCCACTCTATGGCAGGGGCTCGTTCCGCGATCGTGTGACGTCGATGTTGGGTTCACCAGTACGTATCTGGATACACTCGATGAGTCGTGAACTGATTTCAGCGCAGGATTTTCGAACTGGCCCCAGACTCATCTCAACCACGTCGATCGCATCGACCAGCAGTTCCAAGACTTATCAATCACGACGCATGACCAGCGCTCCATTGGACCGCAGGCTCAAACTCCGGTGCCAGAGGCTTCCCCAACGTGTCTGGACAATTGGGGATCCGTTTTTACGCCGTACGAAATAGGCCTGTTTGAGGGCACCACTCCAGCACAAGTGCCCTCTCTACTGGCATCGGATGATGTTAGGCTCAATGGTATGTATCTGGATACATCTCGTGAACCGTGAATTGATCTCAGTGCAGGATATATGCCCTACCAGTGGTCCCAGACTCATCTCGACCACATCGATCACGTCGATCCACAGCTCAAAGACTTATCAACCATGTTGCATGGTTCTTGCTCCATTGGACCGCAGCCTCAGATTCAGATCTCGATGCCAGAGGCTCATCCGACATGTTTGGACGATATGGGATCGTTTTTTACGCCGCGCGAACTAGGCATGCTTGAAGGCGCCACTCCAACTTCACAAATGCCCCCTCGACTCGTATCAGACGTCGACGCTAGGCTCAATGGTATGTATCTGGAGGCATCTCGTGAACCGTGGATTGATCTCAGCGCAGGATGTATGCCCTGGTCCCAGACTCATCCCAACCACGTCGATCGCATCGATCCGCAGTTCGATGAGAACCCATGGGGATCCCAGCAGATCGCTCATCATAGCACCGCCAACTATGCACCTGTACGTCTTAGATTAACCATCGATAGGCTTCTGTACTCAGATCTCCTTTGGCACAGGCCCCGTTACGCCCACCCGGCCCTCTCCGTGTTCAGGTTCGAGCTTTTTTCTGTGTGCGATCGGAGGAGATCCCCGCTGACATCCGATTCTCTTATCTCATATAACGCAGCCAACACGTGTCGTCGCGGGCATCAAACACGGTACCGTCATTGAACAAACATCCTACCAAGTTAGAGGTCAGCGACGCAGGAGTGGGCAGCCCCTACTCCGGGTCGACTTCTACCGATCGAACGGTCGTCGGGGGATCGGGCTCTCTCAACCTAAGGATCTTCGAGACGATAAGGCAGAGGTCTCCTTTGTTGGAGGTAAAGGACAGAAGATGTCCTATCGTATAAGGGTGCGTCAAGCGACTTTGACGATACGTTATCATCCCTGCGTTTTTCTCATACTTGTTCATTGACCACGGCAGTTTCCCGGTGGGCACAACCCTATTGACGAGCAGAAAAACGTTACCCTCCGCGGCGGGGCGCAGGATGGGCCTCGTCGCGTGCTCACTCACAAGAAGATGGTGAAGCAAGTGATTGAAGTGGTTGAAAGGTTCATCGAGGTTCGTTTCGCCTTTGAGAATAATTCTCAATCTAACCCCCCCCCCCCAAAAAAAAACAACCTATCATCACCCAGATCAGTTCCAACGTCGTGCTCCCCGAGGAGGGCAAGCAGTGGAAATTCGGAGGCGACGACGGCATAACGCTCGAGAACCTCGTGCTTCTTTCAGTAGAGCAAGTTTCCGTTGGAAGCCTGCAGCCCTCTCTGATGTACGTGGATCCCTCGCAGCCCTGGTGAAGACATGTCTCCACGCAGTTCGTCTGCGTCTGGGGGCTAACATGTCTTTACATTCATGCTGTTCGTTTTCCTACTAGAACATCCCTGGTCTCTTGTACGGTACACTGGTTTTTTTTTTATCCCTGTTCTATGCGCTCCTGCTTTCCCCTCCTTCCTGTAATGTACTTGACGTAGTTTATGGGGGTTGTTTTCGTTTACTATCAGTGTCTTGTTCGGAGGGCTTGCATTCTGGCAGTAGCTTTATAATTTCGGTGTTTTTCCATTCTCCACTTGTTGTGTATTGTAGCCAGTAGTGCCAACAAAAAAAACTAGAATAGTAGCGATATCATAGTGGTAGTAGTATCTGTGTAGTAAAATAGCCACCCCATAGATTTCGATTTAAATGTCACTGGCATGATACCTGAACGTTGTTGAACTATCAAATGCAGGTACGCTTGAAAGCTTGAAACACTATCACTATTTCTTTATTGTGGGCTACATCTGGACGCAGCTGCATCACGTATAAAAAGTAAATATCAAGAAGCTCGGACTCGGTCCGAGGAGTCAACCCTTTAAACTATTTACTCTTTGACTCTATAAGGAGTTTTTACAGGGTATTACAGAGCATGTCCTGCATGTTCTAATGTGCATAAATATAAATATCTTAGCATTGACTCGATACCACAAAAATGTGTGTGACTTGAGGGGTACTCATCGCTGCTGAGACAGATTGGCCGTTGAGGAAAAGGGCGCCTATTGCAATGGAGATGCCGCTCGCAGAGTCGCGACCACTCTCCTCCTCTAACTCGAGAGAGACTCTGGGATTGCAGTGTGAAAAATCGAAAACAACAGTAGAAGATACAATGAGAAAATTCTTCTGTATTCTCTTCACTGTCTCAATCAAAAATATTATATATTAGTTGTAAACTTACCCTTTACTGTTTTAAACCCTTGATTGACGGCATCAGTGTAAAGGTAAAGTAAATGGTTGGAGCCTTGCACGGCTCGAGCCTCGGAGCAAGATAGCCAGAAAAAAAGCAAGGAAAAAAGTCATAACCCAGTAGCCCACCGCGGGGGTCGAACCCGCAGCCTTCAGATGCCAACAACTCAAGATGAGCTTAAAAGTCTGACGCTCTATCCGATTGAGCTAGGCAGGCTTATATTAAGCGGTATCATAGCCCGCTATGATATGAAGTGAATGGAATTTATCAACGCAAGCGAAAGCCACAATGGTCAGCGCCTGATGCTGGTGGGGGAGATGGGAGAAGCGCTCCGTTCCATGTCGTTCTTTATGTAAAAATACATTGATGACCGGATGAGACGCCTTGACGTAGGTATTACAACTTGAATAACTATATGTATGGGAAATACATGGTTCGTGACGGCTCGTGGTTCCAAAATTACAATGGGATGATATGTGTACACACTATGATTGATTGGATATTGGCAAAGGGATGATTTAGTCGTGAGGTGCACGGGCGCGACCTGCAGCGGCCTCTTTCCCGCCTGCCTCACGGAGCTCTCCCTTTTCGTGCATCTCTGGTTTATGCATGAGCTTTCCGGCGACCTGTACGCGCATGGGTTAGTGTCGGCAAAAAGTAATGGAATATATGCGCTGTACCTTTTGGGTCTTTCCGGCGACCTTGTCCATCAGCTTTGCGTGACCTTCAGGTAGGTCGTCACGGCCGTCAATAGCGACTCCACCTACAAAAGTGTCAGTTACGGAAGTGTTGATATACAAGAAAGAAACGTTACCTGCGCCGGTGGGCTTCACATTCATGGGTCGCTCATCATGCTCGACCTCGGCATCGTCGGTGGCAGTGTAGTTGTCGCCGCTATGTTGTCCGCCGGCCATGACGGCGTTCGTATCTGTCCCTGCGCCGAACCGCCGCTGGTTGTTGCCCTCCCAGACCTGCGAGTCGTTCGTGTTGTCTGCGCTGTAGTCTGGGGCGGGTGCTACGCCGCGTGCGCCTGGGAGAACGTCCGAGGATTGGTGGGTGTGGTGCTCGGGGGCGGGTTGGGCGGCGAAGACGTTGAGGTTGTCGTCGAGGTGGTTGTTGTTTGTGGAGGACATGGTGTGGGTATGAAGAGCGGGTATTGGATGATCATGGCCAGTAGAGGAGGTGTTATATACGATTGAGTGGAGGAGTGAGGAGGAGAGGTGTTCTCCGCTTTGATGACGTCACTCTATCTGGTCACGCGACGAACGCGAGACGCGTCTTTTTTTAATATTTTCACGTGAGGCTAGTTGATTGTTCTCACGGGATCTGCTCTTGACCCTCACCATGCCTTCTCCTTCAAAGTCGGGCGGAAAGTCCAAGGGCGGCGCTTCCTCCATCGCAGACCACAACCAGCCACAACAGCGCACGCTCCAGACACGCAGCCAGCGCGCAGGTCTCCAGGTGCGTCTACCACTGAGCACTTGGCCCCTGACACCCTAACCTCGACGGCAGTTCCCCGTCGGTCGTATCCACAGATACCTCAAACAACGCACACAGCACAACGTACGCATAGGCGCAAAAGCAGCCGTGTACACCTCCGCCATCCTCGAGTACCTCACCGCAGAGGTCCTCGAACTTGCAGGTGCGCGTCGTCGTCGTCGTCGTAGTAGTATACGCAGTTCAATGTGGCTTATGGGCTGTGCGTTAGGCAACGCGTCCAAGGATCTCAGGGTCAAGCGTATCACCCCGAGGCATCTGCAGCTCGCCATTCGCGGGGACGAAGAACTCGATACACTCGTGCGCGCCACGATTGCCGGTGGAGGTGCGTTCCCTCCCCCGCCTTTTCCGTTCTTTCTTCTTTGCTGACGATGGATGTCACGTCGTGCCATACTTGCCATTTGAAAAAAAAAAATCACACATACCAGGTGTACTTCCGTTCATCCACAAGAGCCTCACGCAGCAACAGAAAGGCAAGAAACCAGACGGACAACCCGTGCAATAAACACACATCCACCCCTCCGAGCATCCGTATCGATATATCTATACATATATATATCCTCCTCCCCACAAAGCACCCCTCTCGTCAGATATCCAGGAAGGATACACCCTTTTTTTTCCAATCTCCGTTGTATCATATCATACATAATTTATTCCGGGTAGCTACGGCTGCTCGATCGAGAGACAAAATACTTTTGCATTGACTCTCGCACTCGTCATCAATATTCATATTCATATAATCCAGAGCAAGCAATCTCACAATATACATATACGGTATAGACGGGAATCATGTGTGTATATAATGAGGGGTTTCAAACTTTAGAATCGAGATTTGAAAGCCAACCCTTTTTTCCTCGGCGGAAACGGTTCCTCCAACAATCTCAGAATATACGTTATTAAAAAAGCAACAAAACAAGCACTTAGGGTATAGAGGGAATTGCGTGTGTATATAATGGAGGAATGAACGAGGGATTTCAAAGTTTAAAATCGAGATTTGAGCACAGAGCCAACGCTTTGTTCATCGGCGGAAACGGTCCCTCCAAGACACCTTCTTCGACGACGACGACATCGGATAACTCGTCGCACCCGCCATACGATCCCGCCGCCGTCCGAAACACACCGTGCATCCCGCGAGGCACAGCAATATAAACGACACAAACGTCATCCAAAACGCTAAAACAAACCAACAATCAAAAAAAAATTGGTAAAACGGGGCTGTGAAGAGGCGCGTACCTGGTGCGGTATCGGTATGCTCACTGACGCCCGTCAGCTTGCCCATCTGGTGCTTCACAAACGCGAAGAGCGCAATGTCGATCGCGAACGAGATCAGCGTGAGGAGTGCGGCAAGGAAGGAAACCAGCGAGGCGAGGAGCGTGAACGTGACGTGGGTGCTCAACGAGAGGAGGAACGCGATAAACGTCACACCGCAGGCTGTGCGCATCATGAAGGCAACAAGCGAGCTTGAGTAAGGGAGGGAAACCGTGCATGAGAAACGTGCGACGTACCGACTGGGTGCACAGCGAGACCGCGCGTCCAGGATGGACCTACAGCTTGCCAGCTCGACTTGTCAGCGTTGTAGACCGTGGTGGAGTATCCGTGTCCTAATCCACGTCAAAAAATCTACTAACAATATTTTCATGTTCAAGTTCACATACCGGTAGGGCTGCAAGTGCGCTCTCCGCTGGTCTCATACCAACAATACGCCCTTTAATATCAATAACCGCTTTAGTCCCCCTCTTATCGTAGCCTCATCTTGTATCAACGAGCAAACTCACCATATTCCATACTAGATCATGCCATATGGTAAGAAGGCGGACGGACTAACGAAGGGGGGGAAAGGTAAAAGTGAAGCTCACCCGTAACTCGGTCAACTGTCCCTGGGTGCTATCGCCTGTAGACGAGCTTCCCGAGAAATGCACGCGCGCGATGTCGAGTGCGGGGAGGTAAGGTAGAGAGACGGAGACGAGGAAGAGCAGGACGAATGCGCAGAACAAAAAGATGACTCCGGGGATGTGGAAGGCACGGGGCATTTTTGAAAAACTACACGAGTGTGATGAGAATTTCGTAACTGGGCTTGTCTGTCTGTCTGTCTTGTTGTTGCTGTTGTTCTTCTTTACGTGCGCTGTACTCGCGGTCAAGTAGAAAAACTACCAACGCAGTGGAGACGTTGGGGGCGAGACAGGGAGGGGGAAAGAGGAGAAGGGGAGAAGGGACGAGGTTGAATGGAACAGCACACTGATCTAGTAACTTTCAGTCTTCGCATGACGCTTTCCCTTCAAGCTCCGACTTAAATAAACTGTGGGACGCCCCCAGAAAACCACAGGCGCCAACATTATTTCCGCATAGTCCACTCCAATACGGCCCAGGCCATGTTTGTGGCGCATAAACGCCTTCTCCGGCTAACCGTCTCGTCATGGACATCTTCTTGAATGTCTATATAGTACTAAACCTTGCGACGGGGGGCCCTTCATTTATTTCAATATCATTGAAAGGTGCGCAACAAGTTCCTGGTGGCAGTGCTTAAAGAACGTGGAACAAGCACTACTAGGTGCATACAACTAGCCTCAACCTTTGTGCACCTCCGAGTCGCGGCGGCGTACTACTTATACTACAAAACATCTGCCAGTGCTGCCAGGCAATCAATCAAGTTCCTTGCGACCTCTGTGGCATACGCGCTCACAGCACAAATACAGGAATCGCCGGACATTATGCATCATGGTCCAGAGACGGTCGGAATGATCGCAGCCATTCCGTTATAATGGTACTTTGAATAGTAGTAGGTAACGTATTCGACTCTTTGACTTTTTTTTCGTTATTCACTGCCGCTGTCTAACCGTCTATAGACAAGCGTGGCGCCCCCCTACAAAGTTTCGCCCCACGAGAAAGCAGACTAGGCTAGGCTGAGGGTCAAGGACCTGGATGCATGGACCATGAATGACGCATGGATCAGCGCGCAACTCCCAGTGCCCACATCTCGGAGTTCATGAAGGCCAAGGTAAAGTGCCTAGACCGATGTGGAGCCCCACTAACGTGGTTGTCCAGAGGATATTAATGGGGGTGCATATGCAACGAGGTCTGTTCTCATGGTCATTAGTCTGAGACCGCATGATCCACAAAGTTAAAAATTGCCTCGTCTCTCTCCAGAGATCTCACACTTTATGGAGATTACGGAGATACTCCTCGGCGAGCTGTTGCTTAATATCCTAAAGCGATATTTCGAAACACACGGCCCATATAGATATATATATCGTTGGCGGTCCCCCCGGTCTGTCACACTGGTGTGATGGGTTTCGCAGCTAGATCGAGCGTTCCAACATGACCAAACGAACGATGCAATGCAGGATATTAATGCAATTCGATATACAGCATGAGTGAAGTACGGGCAGCACGATTAACAGTTGCTAGGATGTCAAATACCAAAGAAAGCAAGGCCGAAAAGCGGGACGCGAAGACGCGGTAGGTGGATTAGACGTGGGGTGGAATTAGACGTACAGCAGGCGAAAGACGGTATCCATAAAGGCCGGAAGGAGGTCTTTAGGAGAAGAAATATAGAGAGCCCTTGATGGTGCTGACGTCGAATTGACCCTTGGCTGGCAATGGGGGAAGGATGTCTATGAAGTTAACGAACTTTTTATCGAGCTCCTCGTCGTTGTCGTTGACTTCTTCCTCCTCATTTTCTTCGATTTCCTCTTCCATCTCCTCGTCAAATTCGTCGGCCT